TTATCCTTGGTGACTTCTACTTTTCTTAAAGAGCTGCTACTTCTATAGTTGATCCCAATTTTTTGCAATAAAACACAAAGGACAGAGTGTGAAGGGAAGATGGCTGGCTTCGGCCTGGTAAGGCAATTTAACCAACACATTGGTAAAAAAGCACTTTGTGTGTGAAAAGATTGTGTTCCGGGCACACTCAACAGAACCAGCTCTTTGGTGTCATTAATCATCCTTAACATTAAGAAAAAGGCAGTCATAAAATTCTTACAAACATATAGCTGCATAGACGGCAGCCTCTCTAGCTTTCCTTGGCTCCCTGTGATTTGAAGGAATGTGGGCAATATTATTGCACAATGCCTTGGAGATTACAAATCATTGATACTTACTTTTTTCTTTCAATTACAAGTCTAGCACTCAGAAGCAGAATACTTGTCTTTTGTTGTGGCTGTAGCTTAAAGTTTATTTTCTTAGCAGTCCATCTGGCCATTCAGGGATGGGGTTAGGGGGTATGAGACTGGAACACGTGAAAATTCAAACCATCTGAACTCAGGTTTCAGATGGTTCTGTTTATTTTTGTTGTAAGAATATTTTTATTAGGGTCACAAGTGAATAACGTAAATTATTTTCACGTAAGTACGTTATCTGCCAAGACACGGATTCAGTCAGAGGTCAGTGTGAGAACATTTTAAAGTTTACTTATGTCAAAATGAAGGAATGGAACAGAATAATAGATTTAAGCAAGAGGAAAAGTTTGATGCAGACTGACTAATTGAATAGTTGATGCTGTTGCACCTTCAAAGTTGAAAGCGCTGCATGGAGCCCGGGGTCAGCTGGGCAATGACCCTAGGCTCTCGGTGGTGCTGCCTCTTTGAAACACCGCGAGGAGCCTGATGCCAGGCTCCCCGTGGTGTTCCAAAGCAGCAGTGCTGCACCAAGCCCAGGGTCAGCGTGGGAATCGCCAGCTGATCCTGGGCTCCATGTGTTGCCTGGGGACACCCCTGCTGGCCCTGGGCTGCAAGTGGCGTTTCAAAGCGGCAGCACTGTGTGGAGCCCTCCTCTCTCCCCCAACTTCCCCCACTGCATCTTTCTGATAGGCAGCAAGGCAGGAGAAGCGACTAGTCAACCATCATGTTGACTATCCAATAAGTATTCGCTTAATGGATAGTCAGCTAGTCCTTCACAGTGCTAGTGTGGACAACATTTTTTATAAAAAGGTTGAGCTTGTATGAGCTGCTTTTCCCTCTGTGGATATGGTACACTTTTTTCTTGAACCTTGTGGAGCATGTCGGGTCTGTGAGACTGATAATGAAGTTCCACAGTCCCCCATGCCTGCTACAGGCTTATATCTAATAGCTTTCATGCAAAGAATATGACACTATCAGAGCTTCTATAATCAAGGTGGGGAATAAGGGAATTAGTAAATCTAAAACCCCTGCTTCTGTTCCCCAAAATACTGAATGTAGCAACTGGGCAGAAATCTCACTGAGTGGAGGACGAGGATGGGAGGAAGAAGCTCAGTTCATGTTGGAACATTAACAAGCATGGAGGCATGAGGGCAGTGTGTGGTTTTGCTAACATTTTACTACCCTGTTTTAAAGGGGAGGAGGTGAGAAAGGACTGTCTCTGTTCTCCTTAAAAATGTAGATTGACAAACTTCTAAGCGTCTATAATGGATTGTTTTTAATTTTTCATAGGGGAAAAAGATTCTGCTTTAATGTCCTATAAAAGATGTATTATAGCCCTGTCTAGAACAGTTAGAGGTGAGGTCTCTGCTCAGGGAGCTTACCGTCTAACGTGACTTTTTAAAAATAATTTCACGTTCTCCTTGATACGTACCCTTGGTGTAAAAATGCAAGTAAAGCCTTTTGTGTCTTCCTCCCTGTCCTCTACCTCAAATATGGCCAAGCAGGTTGCTTGTTTAACCTGTGTGTGTGGGGGGGGGGGGGTGGGAAAATTGCTCGTAGGTTTCCTGGTTTTGTATGCTGAACTGCGTGTGAAATATAGCCCCTAGAAAATTGGATTCTCTATTAAACAGACTAGTATGGTCTTATCTATAAAGATGAGAATAGTGCTGCTTTAAAACCTAATGAACGGGGGGGAAATACTTGGATGAAATTATCTCTTGGCACATGGTGAAATAGATAGAATCACCTGTTAATTAAAAGCAGAATCAATTATTAGTTGCATGTACCATGGGCCTGGCTCCCTCTTGAATGAGGGAGTGATGGTGGTGGGTAGACGCATTTCCCATTTACTCCTGCCTCTAAAAAATAGATCTGGATGTGCTTCATTTTAAAACTCTTGGAAGTGGAAGGGTTTGGTGTGGCTTAGCTCCCCTCCCATGTCTCTGAATGATCACAGCTATTCAATTACAGTTGGAAGAATTAAAGTGTAAAGGATTAGTCTGGGAGTGCTAACGCTGCTGCTTTTAATACTGATATATATGTTACACGAGCACAGCTGTACAAGAATGCTGGCCCCCTTGAGATGCCCGCAGCAACCTGAAAGTATGCATGGCCTAAAGGGACACAACTGCTGATGATCCTTTGCAGGTTAAAACCCAGCTGGAAAATATTTTTTATTTGGGTTGGTTATAAGTACCAGGGCTTCTGTCCAGCTCTGAATTTAGACCTCTTTCAAGCAACAATTTAGAATGCAAGTTATAAAAATTTAGAATAAAACTCTGCCCACAGCAAATTGTCTTCTCTTCTTTAGTGTCCTAAGCTGATTAGATGACTCATTCTTTTCCATGAAGTTTAAAGGAGAGAGATATTTTGTCTGATAACATACAAAGGCAGCTCTGTTGATTCTTTGCCTTTACTCCTCCCTCTTCTTTGGAATGTGGTTCATAGGATTGCTGGAAATTAATTGCTTTATCAGAGGGGTGTTTCTAGGTTTCATATGGAAAATTGTCATCTTGTTCTGTGGTTACGTTTCTATTGGAGGAAATTTCCCCCCTGAAATGCACAACTTCCTTATAGTGAGATCCGTAATTAATCTCAATCTCAATCTCAATCTCACTCACTCACTCACTCACTCACTCACTCACTCACTCACTCACTCTAAAAGGACCACATGTAAGACACAGTGGATCAAAATGACCCAGCATCTTTTTGGAAAGCATGATGGTCTTGGATGCCTGCTGTGAAAGGCTGAATGTTTGCTGCCTCTGTGCCAGCATTTAGGCCCCTAACATTTTAAACAGCAGAGAATTTCACAGTAATGTGCTCCATAGGGAACTGGATCTAAAAAGTCAAAATTGCTTCAGCAGCCTGTTCAAATAAACAGGGATAACAGAGGAGACATTTCTTTTCAGAGTCGTCAGCAGCAAGAAAGGAAACATCTGCCTGAGCTTAATTGTAATTTTATTGGCTTGAATCTTTCAAGTATCACAGGCTGAGTTATGTAAGTTGTATGCTTGTGCAAGCATCACAGATAGTTGTATAACAGAGCTTTCTCTTGTTCTCTTATGCTTTTGCTGTGGAAAAAGTTGCCTGGGCTATCGAGAACCTGTGAGCGTAGGGCAGGGGTGAAGAACCTCAGGCCCCAGGGCCGCATGCACCCCTGCTTGGATCTGGCACCCAAGGCTTAGCACCCCCACAGTCCCCCAGATGTATATAGTGCAGTGACTTAATGTGCAGAGGTCTCCTTTTTTAAAGATGTGGATATAAGTAGGTGGTTCACTTGAAAGCATGTAATACAGGGTATGCCTAGACTACATGACTCTGCTGACAGAGGCACATAAAATAGGCTATCCGACATAGTCAAGTGAAGCGAGGCATAAGGGAGCGGTCAACAAAGGCTTCCCCTTTGACCGATCTGCATCTTGACTGCTGTGCTGTGCTGACAGTCAGCTGAGCCGGCACAGTGCGGTGACCATTTTTATTTTAATGAAGCCAGGGATATTTTAATCCCCGCTTCATTGACTATGTCGGGTAGCCTATTTTACATGCTTTTGTCGGCAGAGGCAGGTAGTCTAGATGTACTCACAGAGACTAGGCTACAGACTGTCTCTCTGCAAGGTTTTTGAAGTGTACAGGTCTGCCCACAAGAAATGTGCAGCATTAATGTCTTATGTAGGCAACATTGCAAAACCTGACTTTGACCACTCTAGAATGATGGCAGCAGCACAGGCTACTTTTGGTACACTTGATTATGATGCCATTTTCACACTATCTTGAAAAACCCAGGTAGCCAAACACCAAGCATTTGGTTGGTACATTTGCTGTAGGAATTGCCTTGAACCGTCTTCCTTAGATGTGTTGTGAATGTTGACAGTTGGAATTGGAAGGCTAGGGGATGAAATGTCCTTTTAAATGAAGAGGAGATGCTCTTACTGTGTGTTCCTGTATTCCAGTGTTCAGCTGAAGCGGAGAGTTTAACAGTGCAGTACTTTTATATGGCTATGTCCTCCAATCGCAGAGCAGAAATGCTAGCCTAATTTCACCTGCCAAGGATTTCAAGTAAAGACACAAACATGATTTAAAAAAAAAAATTGACGCTTGACAGCTGGCTAGTTGGAACTTGAACTACTCTTGATAATTAATGGTGCCTCGATGCAGTTTGCCTTTATTTTTCGTGAGTGGTATTGCACAGGCTATAACTCAAGAGGTGCCTAGTACCAAGTGGCCCCTGCCAGCGAGTGGGGTGCTAATTGCAGTTCAAATTGCATTGTAGTGCTTGCAGTTAAAAATAGCCTGCTGCGGGGGCGCAGGGCGGGGGGGCGGGGATCTCATGTCTGGATACATAAATGTCTCTCCCTGCCCTCCCCCCTGTTCTATTTTGTTACTTGCCTGGCTGCATGCATAACATTTCATGGTATGAAAGATGTGTGTGTAATTTGACTGTAACTGTCTGAGCTGAGCAGGTCATGGATTTGCCAGGGTAAATAGTGCCTAATTGGTCAAATTATTTGCTCTGTGCGTGTGTGTGCACAGCATGCGGCATGCTCGTCCTGGTAAGTCATCCCCTATCTTCCCTAATGGATCTTTGGTTCTCTTTTGTTACAGAGTAAAGAAGTTGGACTGCAGCTCCAGGAAGACTTGATGAAGGTGCTGAATGAGCTCTATACGGTAAAACAGACTTCATTCGTCCATTCTTATCATGCATAAGGAAAGAAGTGTTTGACTTCTGCTTGCCTTCCTGCTGCTACAGCTGTTGGAGCAGAGACTGAGCCAGAGGGCTAGCACATGTCTAAGATCGAAGTGATCTGAGGCAGTGTGTGTTCACCAGTGTAATGCTGTACCATTAATTTTATTTTCACTCCATGTTCATCCTTTGGCTGTATCCATCTGATCTCTTGTTGCCAAAGAATGTTGCACAGGAGTTTGAGTCTTGTTTTGGGATACATTTTTGGTTGTGTACGTGTTACAGTACCGTAGTGGTAAGCTTTTAATTTCCACAGCAAACAAAACCAACACATTTGGCCTCATTCTCTCTAAACGGGGATGTGCTATCTAATGCGACAGATCGGACTTTACCGATCTGTCACATTAGACATTTTCTCCTACTTGAGGATTTGTTTGTTACTGATTTCAGCAAGGTTTATCTGCTGTGGATTGGGGAGGAAAGTGATTTGAATATGCCTAAATGCTTAATGTTGTAAGGACCCCCTCCCAACCACACACACAGACACACGCCTCCAGGAGGAAGATCAGAGACTCAGCTGAGATGGAGACTTTTTCTGGAAGGCCAAGCAATATGCTGTAAACTTTTTTGTTTTCTATTTGAGGTACTGAAATGTGATGTGTCCATGCACAAGATTTTTATGCACAATTAACAAAAAACTCTTTTAGAAGTACTTGTTCTCATGCATGTTTATTGTATCACTGCAATAGTACCACACATGTGCAGGTAAATGCAAGTGTAGGTGATCTCACTCCTCTAGTGCAGAGCACGGTCATAAGAGATGTCTGACCGAAAACACTCGATAATTCTCAGTATCCTAAGCTGTGTGTTACCCTGTTTAGCTGTAGTGTACATTTTTTGCGACAGTTGGCTAACCCAGGAGAATAGGGATCCTAATTATTTTCTCTTATTTATATAGCACTCATCCAATGCTCTGGCTGCTGCATAAATAATTAAGTAGTATAACTCAGAATTCAAAAGGCCATAAATAGACCTCCCCTTTCCTCACCAAAGCATTTTCTCACAGCTGCTTAATCTGCCTATTTTCTGAAATTATATTTATTATAAATATGATTCCCATCTCTGTATACTCCAGCGATGACCTCAAATTTGCACTTTTGTGGACAAAGGGTTGAGGAGATGATTTGCAATGACACGGACACTGTACCAATAACCTGTTTCCCTTTGCCTCATTGTCTGTTTCACAACACACAGCTCAGCATCTGCATAGGAGAGGTCTAGGACTGATGCAGCAAGGAGACTGCGGGTATGAAACAAGATGTTTTGGCAGAGCAGTGTGGGTAAATGTCTTCCATTGCCAGCCGACAGCGCATTTAGCGTTCAGTTAGTGTTCCCTTGTTGTGTGGTTTGTGTGTTTTTTAAAGCATTCATAATGATGTGGAACCAGGCTGCAAAATCTGATGCTATATCCACCTCTCTTCTCTTCTCCATGGCTGAGAAACAGACTTCTGCCAATCTATAGTGCTGTAAATTAGGTCAGCCCTTTCTTAGCTTGGGGGTAACAATTGAGTCGTAACAGAAGGTCATCTTGACTCTCAGGATACATCTAGTCGAACCTCAGAGTTACAAACTGACCATTCAACTGTGCACTTCATTTGGAATTGGAAGTGAGCAATCGGGCAGAAGTAGCAGACACCCCCAGCCAATAAAAAGCAAATAGTGTACAGTACTGTGCTAAAACATCAACTACTAAAACAATAAAGTGAAAGGTTTTTATGACAAAAATTGACAAGGGAAGGGAAGGGCTTCTGTGCTGGTTTTCCTTAAATTCACATATTAAAAAGCAGCATTTTCTTTAGCATCGTAAAGTTTCAAAGCTGTATTAAGTCAACGTTCAGTTTGTAAACTTCTGAAAGAACCACCATCCTATTTTGTTCAGAATTGCAAAGGTTTCAGAGTTACGAACAGCCTCCATTCCCTAGTGCTGTACTGTACACTTGACAAGAAGCTGTGTAACCCACACACCTAGTGTGGTTACTGAGCAATGCAAGTGGTACCTAGACCACAGCAACGGTTAAGATCAAGCGACCTCTACAGCATGAGCTGGGAGCCAGCTGGCTTTTAGCTCCGAGGGTAGAGGCTCCTATACTCCACTTTAGAGGTCCCAGATTCAAATCCGCCTGGTGGCGGTTACAGCTGTATCAGTGATTCTGAGCCCAGCTCAGGACTATGGTGTTACTACTGCCTTGGAGTTTGATTGGGGGTTGATGTGGTGGCCACTCTGCTCATGGGACAGCAGGTCAACTTGTAGGACAATGCTGCTAACCTGGGACTACCGTGCTAAAAATAGCACTGCAGCCATTCTTACTCAACCTGAAAGCCAGTCATGGGGGTAGGTTTTAGAGCTCCAGCTCAAGTGGAAACACCTAAGTTGCTATGTTCAGCACCGTAGCACAAGTGCTAGTGTGGAGGACCCAGACACTGAGACTCACTGTTGTGGCTCTTTCTTGCACGTAGGTTATCACAGAATGTCACATGTACTGCTCATCTCGTCCTGAACTGGAAATTGGAGTATCTGCAGTTGTCAGAACTCTAGCCATTGAATTCCTTTTAAAGTAAAGAGGAGCTAAGAAAAATGTAGGATTGGAGATAGTTTTAAAATACTGGATAAAAGTGCTCCTGGGAGGCCAGCCAGCCATGCAGGACAGGAGTAACTGCTGTCCAGGCATTGCATTTCTCTGCTGACCATGATGTTGCCATTACAACTTGAGAGTGGGAATTGTTCCCTTCCTTGGTAGCTATAGTTGTTTGGCTTTGATGGGATTTGGTGCAAAAAGTCAGGGCGGGGAGATAAGATTTGCTGTTTTTTTTAAACACGGAAACGTCCTGCAAGGGATGTAATTAAAGAATGTTGTTGTTCTGGGACACGGAACTCCAGTGACTCAATTGGTTGGAATCAAACTGGATAGTGGTCAACGTTAATAGAGTTGTGCACTGTCCACTCACAGCCAGACTCCTCCAAGAGTCCAGGAGAAATCCCAAACACTCTTAAGAAGTGGAGCATTTCCAGAAATGCCAAATATGTCATCTTTTTTAATACCAACTTTGACATTGGAATGCCCTTGGGAGAATCCCTTTAGAATCAGCATGGGACAGCTCTTTTCTTGGGGCTCTCTTGATTGGAAGCATCCCAGTACATCCCTGTCCAGTCATAAAGGAGGGAGTTTGCTGAACCAGGGGAGATCAATTCTGGCCCTGGCTGAGCTCCTGGCTGCCAGCCACTCTGCCTCCAGATAACCAGCCAGCCCCTGCTTCTGGTTGCCTGGGCTCTCTGGTCCAGGAACGTCCGGGTCCTACTGCACCACAGATGTTGCCGGACCAGAGGAATCCTACCTATATAGTAGAGTGCTGGCTGCTACTAGGCAGGGGTGGTGTCACACCATGTGTGACTCAAAGCTGTGGCCAACCTGGCGTCCAGCTAATTTAATGCCTCTTCCTTCGGCTTCTCCCACCGTGGTCGCGTGCTGTATCTTCCTAGAGTCAGGTCGCTGTCTCTTCGTGACTCAGGGTGCTCTGTCTGACCATGTCACTAAAATCCTCCCCTTCTGGAGTATCCAGGTCCTGCTGGACACTTGGGCAGTTTTCTGTTCCACTGCCCAGTCTGTGCCACTTGCTTAGCTGCCAGTACAGGAACCTGGGCCCTTTCCAGCACAGGGACCTGATAGCCAGCAATCACTGTTGGCTCAAGCTCCAGTCTTGTTGCTATTTCCCTGCCTTGCTTCCCTTCTTCCAGCCCCCCTCTGGGTTACCCTAGGAGCTTCCTGTGCTCCCTGTGGCTTGCCAGAGTCTGTATTCCACAGCAGGATCTGAGGGCTCACTCCTCTTGGCCTGTTGTCAACTCTCCGCCTCTCCAGGAAGTGACAACAGAGTTCTTCCCCTCAGCCCTCTCTTACCATGCATGTCCACACTTTATAACCCAGCTCTTTCCCCAGCTGGGCTTGATCAGGTGTGGGGCCTCCTCAGCCCTGACTCACCTGCATGTGCAGCAGGGCCGGCCCACAAGTTTTTGACACCTGAGGTGGGGAGCTGAAATTACACCCCCATTTCCTCTTGCTTGTGCCAAAACTTTGAAAGGTCTCAATTCTGCCCTCCTTCCTCCAGCACAGCACCCCAACATCTCTTTGGTATCTCTTGATAGTTGCCAAAGGATCAATGCCCACAAAACAGATATTAGACAGGATCACAAAGAAAAAACAGTTACTTGCCATTTCAACCAGAAAGGACACTGTCTCAATGACTTAATTACCTGCATCCTGCTTCAGAAGCCTTTTAAATCTGCACTTGAAAGGGAATCCTCTGAACTGTCATTCATGCTAAAATTCGACACTCTACGCGTGGGTCTCAAGAAAGACCCCAGTTATCTTACCCATTACAAAGATAGCTTCCCCAATTATCACCTCTAATACCATTAGCTCACAGACATTTACCTTTCTCTCCCCTCCCCCCCTGCATCCCCCTTGAGTTCTGAAATTTGATTTGTCCTTTTCATATGTGTTCTTTTTTTAATTGTATCCTTTGGTATATATGGTTGTGACTATTTTCTTCCACTATTTGATCTGAGGAAGTGGGTCTGGCCCACGAAAGCTCATCATCTAATAAACCTAGTCTTTAAAGTGCTGCATAGTCCTGTATTGTTTCACCAACATCTCTGTGCATCTAGAGCAGAGAGAATACATCTGCACCAGCAGCAGACACAATTGTCTACGCTCTGGGTCCTACTGGCACCCACCATAGTCTGGCACCTCCGTTTGCCCCATGGTAAGGCCAGCCCTGGTGTGCAGCCTGTGACGGGGTAATTGTCCCTTTATCTAGGCAGGCTTTGAACAGGAGAGAGACTCTTATCACAGGTGGATACACGTTAACCGAGGATCCCCACGCCCCATTGCTTTGGGAAGCCTTATCAGAGACTTTTTCACCTTCAAAC